CATGTGGTCTTCTGGGCCCCCAGGCTGGACCACCTCTTGCGCGGCATCTGGGAGCTCAGAGTTGCGATAATGTTTTGTGCGAAACGGGCCAGACCAACTTGCGCACGGCAGGCTCCCAGGGGGGGATATCTAACCTGTGGCCGTTTGGGCCCTTCAAAATGGAGGGGGGGCACAAGATCAGGAAAAATCAACGAATCGACACCGGATGTGTATTAACTTGACACGTTCTGATAGGGGGCCTCCTGGGGCCTCCTGGGAGCCTCCTGGGAATCTCATGGAGACCCCTGGGGCCTGTCCTGGGCGTCCTGCGGCCTCCTGGAGCTCTCTGGGGCCTGCTGGGGCTCCCAGGGTCCCAGGGAGGATATGTAACATGTGGTCTTCTGGGCCCCCAGGCTGGACCACCTCTTGCGCGGCATATGGGAGCTCAGAGCTGCGATAATGTCTTGTTCGAAACAGGCCGGACCACCTTGCGCACGGCATCTCAGAGTTCAGAGTTGCGAGGATGTTTCCAGTGTAACGGGCCGGACCACCTCGCGCAGGGCATCTCAGAGCTCAGAAGTTCGAGGATGTCTCAGGCTAAGTGGGCCGGACCACCTCTCGCGCGGCATCTCCGAGGTCAGAGTTTCGAGGATGTCTCAGGCGAAACGCTCCGGACCACCTCGCGCAAGGCATCTCAGAGCTCAGAGTTTCGAGGATGTCTCAGGCGAAGTGGGCCTGGACCACCTCTCGCACGGCACCTCGGGGCTGAGAGTTTCGAGGATGTCTCAAGCGAAACGGCCCGGACCACCTCTCGCGCGGCGTCCCGGAGCGCAACTTTTCGAGGATGTCTCAGGCGAAACGGCCAATCCCGGCCAACTCAGAAACGAGAGTTGTGAGGATGTCTCATGCGAAACGGCCCGGACCAGCAAATTTTTATGAGGATGTCTTTGCTCCGACTTCCTTCGGCTGGAGTTAGCTTCTATCACAACAGCACCCCGTTCAGCAATCTGTTTGGGGAAACACGCACGAAACCGAAAAACGCATGGGAAATGGACGTCCGAGCGATGGCGAGCTCCGAGACGTTTCCTGTGCCTCTGGGGCAGACTCGGACAGCTTTTCTCAGGAGGCCCGGGGCCTTACGAGCCCTCCGAGAAGGCCCGCCCTTTTGTGGGCCCCAGAAGCGGCAGGGCCGTTTTTCCACCGTTTCCAAGAACATGTCCTTTGAAAACGGAAACGGCAACAAAAACGGCGACCGGAAACGGCTCCAGGATTGGAGTCAGAGCCGGAACCGGTCAAAAAGCGGCGACGGAACCGGTAACAAAAACGGCGTCGGAACCGGCAGCAAAACGGCAAAACGGAACCGGTAACAAAAACGGCCCTGTCGTTTCCAGGGCCCACTAAGGGCCCGCCCCTTCTCGCTGTCTCTCCTTGGGCCGCCGTCTCCGTCGGGGCCCCCTCCCTTCGTGGCACAGCGGGGGCGACGGGCGGGTCGCTCTCTAGGAGGGGCCTCTCGCCTTCGAGGGCTCCAGAGGCGGCTCTCGCTGCCTCGGCGGAAGGCCGGCCTCCCGCCGTCGTCGTCGTCGTCGTCGTCGTCGCCGTTGCCCTCCTCCTTTTTTCCTCGCTTCGATCCTTCCCTTCTCCTCGTCGTCTCCATCGCCCTCCTCCTCGCCCTCTTCATCCTGCTCCTACGAGGGCGCATCGCTTGCCTCGCGATTGGCAGGCGCTACCGTCGACGCCCAAAACGTTCGACGGAAACCCGCGGCGGGCTGGCGGAAGCCAGCAGAAGCACAAGGTTTGCCCCCAGGAGATGCCAACACGTCTGAGTTCGGATGGACCTACGATGTACTAGATATATTGTTTGCTACAGCAGCGGGCGTTGCATGCGATACGACATCTGTACGCTCCTAAGCGTATTTGAAAACACCATATACCAACACGCCAGCACCCAAACAAGATGCCGTATTAGAAGCAGACAGTTTACATCTTAGATGAGTTGTTAGCTTCGACGTACCATGGGCCAATGTTGGAAAGAGCCTGTGTGTATGCGATCTGTGCGCATTCGGTGTGGCCTTCGTGCTTGTCAAGCGCATGTACGGTTATGTTCATTATGATCACCATGGTTCTGTTCATTCTGATCACCATCCGAGTAGGTATCTCTTCTGGCTGCGGGTAGTTTCATTATGTTATCTGATATCCATTTATTATCCTGGCCCTCCTGTGCTGGTCTCTCGTCTTGAACAGAGCATTGCTCGCGCGCCCTCCTCCTCCTCCTCCTCCTCCTCCTCCGCCTCCTCCTCCTCCTCCTCCTCCTCCTCCTCATTCTCCCCCTCCTCCCCCCTCCTCCTGCCTTCTGCCTTCTTGCTTCCCCCTCCTCACATCTGTCCTCCTGCGGGGCTGCGAGCTGCACAACTGTCACCACCCTCGCGGGCTCCTGGGAGGCACGCTGAGTTTTCGGGGCCAGACTTTGCTGCTTCCTGGGGGGCTGCGAATTGCGAACCTCCCGTCACTCTCGCAGCTTCCTGGGAGGCACGGCGGCGTGGGGGCCGCGCAGACCCAGCCGAGACCTGGCGGCTCCCCGGGGGGGCTGCGACGTGCGAGACGGTCGCCACTTTCGTGGGCTCCCGGGAGCAGGCACGGCGGAGTCGGGGCCGCGCAGACCCGGCCGAGGCCTCGCGGCTCCCTGGGGGGTTGCGACGTGCGACGTTGTCGCCGCTCTCGTTGCCTCCTGGGAGGCACGGCGGAGCGGAGGGCCACGCAGCCTCAGCCGGGACCTCGCGTCTCCCTGCGCACGGAGGGGCGCTCCCGCGCAGTGCGGGGCCTTCAACACGTTGGTTCGTCTTGAGCGGTCTCGGGTATAGCCGCCACATGTTTAGAACGGGCCGGGAACGTCGCATGGTAATGTTACCCTACTGCATGCTGCAAGTCCAGCCACCGTGCCAGTCCAGTATTCTGGGTGGCGACTGTTCGAGGGGGCGCGGGAGGCCGTCACGTGTGACACCACGTGTATCCAGACTTGGGAGAGCCGTGGTGAGAACGGTGAGGATTGTGATGATGGGGATGACGATGGTGTCGATGACGATGATGCTGGCAATGTTGTTCCTAGTGGTGATGATGCTGATACTGATGATGATGATGATGGTGGTGATGATGATGAATATGTCGATGGTGATGCTGATGATGCAGATGATGATGATGATGATGATGATGATGATGATGATGATGATGATGATGATGATGATGCTGATGGTGGTGGTGGTGGTGCTGATGGAACTGGTTACGAGGATGTTGATGATGATGATGGCGCCGATATTGCGGATGATGATGCTGCTGATGAAGATGAATCTCAGTTTGACGATAGTGAGGTTGGTTGATGATTATTATCATGATGATTATGAGGGTGGTGGTGGTGATGATGCTGATGTTGGTTGTCGTACTGTTAATAGTACTATGAATGATAACGGTAATGATAAAGATGGCGTTGATGATGATGTTGATGACGATTGTGATGATGGTGATGATGCTGCTGCTTGTGATGAGCATGAAGATGCTGATGCTGATGGTGATGCTGCTGATGATGATGGTGATGATGGTGGTGATCTGCTGCTGCCGATGATGATGGTGATACTGGTTGTGGTGATGCTGCTGATAATGACGACGACGATGCTGCTGTTGCTGCTGCTGATGCTGATGATGCTGATGATTGTGATGCTGATGTTGACGAGGACGAGGACGAAAACGAGGACGATGACGAGAAGGAGTATGAGGAGGAGGATAAGGAGGACGACGATGAGGAGGATGATGAGAAAGAGGATGAGAAGGATGATGAGTCATGAGGATGATGAGGATTAAAAGGAGGTGGAAGAGGCGCAGGAGGAGAAGGAGGAGAAGGAGGAGGAGGAGGAAGATGAGACGGAGGAAGATGAGGAAGAGGAGTACAAGGCAGGCCGTGACATGTGACACCTTTCGTCTTGATTATTTGAGGCGATCTCCTGGAATTCGTTTGGGCCGTCTTGGGGCTGCATTGGCCTCCTGTGAGGCAGTCTCCGGGGTCCTTTGGGGCCCTCTTGTGCCGTCTTTGGGCTTTCTTACATCGTCTGGGGGCCCTCCTGACCGTCTGGTGGGTGTCTGCTATCGTGGGGTCGTTTGGGCGCCGTCTTTGACCGTCGAAGTGCCTTCTAAGGCTGTCTTGGGTCCCACGTGATACCCTCTTTGGCCGTCTTGGGGCCGTTTTGGGTGCCTCTTGGGCCATCGTGGGGTTCTCTCGGGCCATCTTTGGGCCCTCTTTGGCCGTCTTGGGGCCACCGTGGACGCTTCTTGGGCCGTCTTGAGCTGACGGAGGCCCGAGAAGGCGAGCATGCGAAACTCACTCAGGCGCTGTCGGACCCCGTTGGAGATCTGCTCATGTTCCTGTTGGGCCCTCTTTGAGGCACCTGAGGCCGTACGGAGGCCAGTTTCGGCCGCCTCGGGGCCATCTTTGGCTGCCTTCGGGGCACTTCGGGCCCTGTTGGTGCTCTTGGCTGCGTGCGTGGGCCGCGTTGGGAGCTCGGGGCGCGGACCCATCGATTTCATCAACGTGTTCGTGGCCGTGGGCGCGCGGGCCCACCGTTTCCTGCGAGGGGTCGTGGCTTCGTCAGGAGAGGCGATGCACGCAGCGGTCTGCGGGTCGATGGGGGGTCCCCGATTTTGAGTCCAGAGCCCCACCGGGCAGCGCTGGCCACTCCTGCTGGCAAGACTCCGCACGCTTTACCTGCCTCGGCGCCTCCCTCCTCCCCCCGTCGCTCCCTGATGCCCCTCCTCCATGTCCTGCCCCGTCGCCTTCACCCCGCCACTGCCCCGTCTCCTCGCTGCCCGGAGTCCCCCCAGCAGACCCGGGGACGGGCGGGACGGGTGGGCGGCGGCGCCAGCAAGCCATGGGGGAGGGAGCTGCAGGGTGCGGCGTCGAGCAGGGGGCATACCTGTGCCACGTGCGTGAGGGCCTGGCTCGGCCAGCCCCTTTCGCCCGACCCCTGGCCGGAGGGAAGGTATTCGATGTCCTGGCGGCCACGCAGGGTGCACCAGGCTCGCGGGCAGCAACTCTCCGCGGGGCTGCGGGGCAGGGCTCCGTCCCGCTCTGCACCACGCCTCTCTTCAGTGCTGCTTCGGCCAGCTGCCGTTCGAGGACACCGTAGACACTGAGCACACATGCGCGATCGAGGACTCTTGGCGAGATGGGGAGCAAGGGGGTAGCTGTTTTGACACATGTGAAGCATGTCCCGTGCAGATCTGGTTTGCATGGTCGCGCTCGCCCGCCTGGCCAAGTGGCTCTGCCTGTCGACCCGAGGGACTGTGAGAGCCTCGCGCCACGCCCCTAATGTACTGACGTAGTTAGGCCACGGGTGAGCGAACGCACGCAAGCCAAACCTTCGATACAACCTGGTCGAGCCGCAGCAGATGGGCAATCGATGGGGACGTGAAACACAGGGTTCGAGCCCCAGGAGAGGGGCAGTCTGCAGGCACATACGTAAAACACACATAGGTTCGAGCCACCGAAAAGGGGCAATCTACAGGCACGTACTTAAACACATACGACATTCGAGCCACAGGAGAGCGGCAATCTATAGACACATACGTAAACACACAGGGTTCTGGCCCCAGGAAGGATGGGCAATCTATCGGCACATTTGTAAAACACTTTGGAGCCAATTCGAACCACGGGAGAGCGACAATCTATAGGCACGTACGTAAACACAGGATTTGAGCTCCATGGAAGGGGCAATCCATAGGCACATACGTAACACATACAGGATTCGAGGCCCAGGCAAGGGGCAACCTGTAGGCACATCTACAAAACACACAGATGTCGAGCCACAGGAGAAGGCCAATCGATAGGAACATACGTAAACACTTACAACTCGGGCAACAGGAGAGGGGGGGGAGGCCTTGGAAGGCCCGGGGGCGTCCGCAGGCCCCACATAGAACGAATCGACACCAGGTACAAACAAATTTCCGACGTTCCGTCCCGGGGCCATGGGGAGCCTCGGTAGGCTTTGGGGAGAGCCGTCCAGAGGCCACAACGATGACGACTCGACACCGGATACACACAAACTTCTGACGTTTCGGCCTGGGGCCGGGGGAGGCTTGGGGAGACTCATATATTTCGAGCCACAGGAGAGGCACAACCTGTAGGCACATACGTAAAATATGTAGGATTCGGGCCACACGAGAGCGGCAATCTATAGGCACATACGTAATACACAGGGTTCGAGCCACAGGAGAGGGGCACCCTATAGCCACATACGAAAATTTCGAGGGTTCGAACCACATGAGGGGGACAATCTGTAAGCACATTCGTAAAACACATCGGATTCGAGCCACAGGAGAGCGGCATTTTTTGGTTCATATGTAAACACACAGGATTCGAACCACGAATGCGCGGAACACTAGAATTCGAGCCCCAGGAGGAGGGAAATCTATAGGAACATATGTAAAACACGCAGGATTCGAGCTAAAGGAGAGGGGCAACCCATCGGCACGTATATCAAACGTATAGGGTTCGAGCCACAGGAGAGAGGCAGTTTATAGGCACATACGTAAACACACAGGATTCGAGCCACAGGAGAAGGGCACTCTGCAGGCACATATGGCAACATATTAAAATACTTAGGATTCGAGCCACAAGAGAGGGGCAACCTATAGGAACATACATACAGCATATAGTGTTCGAGCCACAGGAGAGGGATGCTCTGTAGGCAAATACGTAAAACACACAGGGGTCGAGCCCCAGGAGAGGGCCAATCTGTAGGCAGATTATTAAAACACATCGGATTCGAGCCCCATGGGCAATCTACAGGCACATACATAAACACATCGGATTCGAGCCACAGGAAAGTTGTATAGATATGTGTGTGTATATATATATATATATATATATAGATATCGACAGATATATAGGTCGATAGGTTGATAAGACCACACGTAAACCACATATGCGGTTCGAGTCACAGGAGAGCGGCAATCTTTAGACACATGCGAAAACACAGATTTCGAGCCACAGGAGAAGGGCAATCGATAGGAACATATAAAAAACACACAGGATTCGACCCCCACGAAAGGACAGCCTATAGGAACAGTAGAACGCACGAGTTCTGAGCCATAGGCCGGGGGCAATGGGAACATCAGTGAAACACATAGGGCTCGAGCCACAGTAGAGGGGCAATCGACAGGAACGTACGTAAAACACATGGTGCCGGCAGTCTGCCGGGCCGCCGCTGGGCCTGCGATGCGCCCCCCCCCCCCGCCCCCCCCATTCCTTGCATCCCCTGCGGAGCCAAAGTGCAATAATAGTGGGTCGCATTTCTGGTCCACATCGGGCCAGGACACCAGAATGAGCGCTGCCGCATTGGAACATTACAGTGAGCGGTGCGGGCCGCTGCCGGACCGCCGCCAGGCCTGGGAGACGTCTCCTCCCGGCCCTTCCCTGTAGAGGTTCTGGAAGGGGAAATTCTCGATCTCCATTAACCTCCATCGGAACGATATTACGGAAAAGTTCGCTTCCTTTTGGAAAGTGCCTTCCCCCCACCGTGAAATTGTGATTGCACGACTTTTGCGGGGGGCGGCCCTTGGGCCACTCACTCGTTTAATTTAAGGTTATGAGGGGTAGTGGATGCTGCGTGGTTTTGGGCGTTTTGCGTGAGACGTCCTTGGTTTGGCCCTTGGTTTGCCTGGTTGGGCCCTTGGGTAGGCCTGGTTCGGCCTGGTTTCGCCGGACGCCCTGTCTGAGATATCTTTAGAATTCGATTGGAAATTAATGGTTCGAAAGTAGTCGCACCCCAAACCGTTTACTTTTGGAGAGCGCCCCCCCCGCCCTCGTAAAATTTTGATTGCAGGGTCCTTACTGGGCAGGGTGTCCCTTGGATCACCCACTCGTTGGAATTCGTTTTGTTCTGGGTAGTGGATGGAGGATGGAGCTTGGCTTGGGGCGTTTCGTTTGGGGCGTGCTCAGAATTTGCCTGGTGCGGTCCTTGGTTCGGCCTGGTTTGGCCAGGCGCCCCGCCTTAGACATCCTCCTAATTTCCCCCCCCCCGCCCACGTCAAATTCACAAGACTCCTGCGGGAGGTGGGCCTTGGGTCATCCATTCCTTTATAATATGTTTTATTTCAGGTCGTGGGTGGAGCGTGGTTAGGGGAGTTTTGCTTGAGACGTCCTCAGACTTTGTCTGGTTTGGCCTGGTTCGGTCTGGTTTTGTTTAGTTTGGCCGACCGCCCCGCCTCAGGCATCTTCATAACTCAATTGGAAACCAATGGTTCGAAAGCGACTGCGCCCCATTTTTTTTGTCTTTTTACTTTGGAGAGGGCCCCCCGCCCACGTAAGATTCTCATTGCACGACCCCTGCGGGGGGAATCCTTGGGTCATCCACTCCTTGAAGTAAGTTTAATCAGTCAGGAGAGTGGATGGAGTGTGGCTTGGGGCGTTTCGTTTCGGACGTCCTCAGAGTTTGCTTGCTTTGGTCCTTGGGGCGGCTTGTTTCTGCATGGTTTGGTTTGGCAGGGGCGCCCCGCCTAGACATCTCCAGACTTAGTTCGGGCACGAGTATCTCGAGAGCAAGTGCGATCAAACTCGGCCACTTTTGGAGAGCGCCCCCCCCGCCCTCGTGAAATTTTGATGGCAGGATTCCTGCGGGAGCGTGTGCCTTGGGTCATCCACTCGTTTCAGCCTGTCATTAAGCTAGTGAGTGGAGTGTGGTTTGGGGCGTTTCGCTTGAGACATTGACAGCATTTGCCTTGTTCGGCCCTCGTTTGGCCTGGCTTGGTTTGGCTTGGTTGGGCGCCACGCCCGAGACATCCTCAATTGTTTCTTGGTTGGGCCCCTGGTTCGGCGTGGTTTCTGAAACGACCCTCACATGTTGCTTGGTTTAGTTTGGTGTCGGCGCGGTTTCGCTTGAGACATCCCCACAATGTGGTGAAACGTATGGATTGGAAGCTTTGTTGTGCAAACTCGGTGATGCAAACGTCGCAAGTCATACGGTGAAATCTATGTGGTGCAAAGTCTGAGGTGGGAAAGGTGTGGTTCAAACTACGTGGTGCCAGGCCACAGTGTGTCGAGGCATTGGCCTGGTGCCTGGCGGTGTTAGGAAGTATTCCAAGCATGTTGCATGTCAGCCCACCATGGTTGGGGTCCGCGCTGGCTAATATTTGTCCCCACATCTTTTGTGGGTGTTTGTTTTCCCTGGGCACCCCACTCAGTAACCTATCTCTCACCCCCCCGCCTCCTTCTCCTCCTCCCCTTCCTCTTCCTCCACCTCCTCCTCCTCTCATCGTCATCATCATCATCATCATCATCATCAGCATCAGCATCAGCATCAGCATCAGCATCAGCATCATCATCATTACCATCATCATTATTATCATTATCGTCACCATCATCATCATCATCACAGCAGCATCAGCATCAGCATCAACATCACCATCAGCATCAACGTCAGCATTATCAGCAGCAGCATCACTATCATACTGAGCATCCTCATATCATCATCATACACTGTTCACATCCATCACCACTATCACACCATCATCGCCATCAGCAGCAGCATCAACATCAGCATCACCACCATCACCAGTAGTCCCCGTCGCCATACTCAGTCGCATCTCTCACACATTCGATCAATCACTCACACACTCGCGCGCGCATCCTGAGTGAGTCTCGGGCGGGAGCCTCGTCTCTGAGTGAATCGCGAGGCAGTCTCGAGCGGAAGCCTCGTCTTTGAGTGAATCGCGAGGCAGTCTCGAGCTGAAGCCCCGTCCCCATGGGGTCCCCGCCTCATGCTGTTAGGCGGCAGTTCGAAAACCATGTCAACACACATGTTCTGTGACAGCTGGGGGCCTGCATCCCGAGGGTGTCTCGAGCAGCAGCCTCTTCTCTGAGCGGATTGTGGAGGAAGTCTCGAGCAGGGGGGCCTCTCTCCATGGGGCCGCCAGATATGTGTTAACAAAAGAATCAAAAGCCCGAGCGGGTCATCCAAGCGTATCCTGTAAGAGTCGTCACCTTTGGATTGGTTGTGGAGGAAGTTTTGAGCGGGGCCCCGTCCGTGAGTGAATTGCGAGGAAGTCTCGGGTGGGACCCCCCCCTGCTACGGGGCCGCCAGATCATGTTACTAATCCGAGCGGGTCGTCCGAATTTTGTAAATGTCCCAGCGGCTTGCTCCCGCGCCCCAGCGGCCCGCGGGGTTGTCCTAACGGCCTGGCCCTCAGGGTTGCCCCCACAGCTTCGAGATTTGGCCATCGAAGGGCGCGCCCGCGCTGGCCAAGGCGGCGACAGCGGCAAGGAACATCTACATGCATGCCCTGGCCAGAGGAAAGGGAGCTGCATAAGGGAAACATGCAGGAACAGGATGAGGAGACGGAAAAGGAGGAGGAGGGGGAGGAGGGGGGGGAGAAGGAGGAATAGGAGGAGGGGAGGAGGAGGAGGAGGAGGAGGAGGAGGAGGAGGAGGAGGAGGAGGAGGAGGAGGAGGAGGAGGAGGAGGAGGAAGGGGCCAAGCAGAAGGCGCGAGGAGGGCCCCCGCCAGGGCGAAGGGCAACTTCAGCACACTCTCGCGCAGGGCCCTGCCGCCGGAGGATCTGTTCATGACGGGAGCCCTTCGGCAAAACGGTTCGGAGTGGGGACAGTCCACGAAACCGTCCCTTTGGCCGCCCACTTGCCGCCACCGCCCCCGCGCGGCGAGGGCGCCGACGCGGCGAGGACGACGACGACGACGACGACGACGACGACCACCACGACCACCACGACGACGACGACGACGACCACGACGACGACGACGCTGACGACCACGACGACGACGACGACGACGACGTTGACGACCGCGACCACGACCACGACGACCACGACGACGACGACGCTGACGACCGCGACCACGACCACGACGACCACGACCACGACCACGACCACGACCACGACCACGATGACGACGACGAAATCGCGACGCGAAGGGGTCCGGGCTCCGCGATCCCCCCCGGCCGCCGCCCGGCCACGCACCGCCTCCCGCTCCCCCCCGTTGGAGGCGGCGGCCATCTGCGCCGCCCTGGCCGCCTGCGGGGCCGCCGTGTCCATGGCCTCGCGCCAGCACGGCCCCCGCCCCGCCAGAGAAGGGGGGGCGGCGGAAGGGGTCGTCGTTGTCGTCGCCGTGGTCGTCGCCGTCGCCGTCGCCGTCGCCGTCGCCGTCGTCGTCGCCGTCGCCGTCGCCATCCTTTCCGTCGTCGTCGTCGCCGCCGTCGGCGGGTGCGGCGGGGCGTGTCGCCATGGGCGTCTGGACGCCCGAGATGGGCACGGAAAGAATGGGTACGATGCCCGACAGCGGATCCGGTTCACTTTGAACAGGATTCGCTGTCCGCGCCGCCGCGGCCTGTGTCCATTCGAGACAAAACGGCGCCTGCCCAACAGCGGGCGGGCGTCCAAAATGGGGGAGACGGGTCTTGAGGGAAAAGGATCGTGAGGTTTTTCGCCGGTCTGGGGCTCTCGGGGCCCTCCACGGGCCCCAGGACTGTCAGAGAAAGACTCGGGACGAAGATCTCGTTTTTGGGGAAGGCCCCGGAGGTGTGGCGTGATACGTTGAGGGCATTCGTGAAGGAGTGTGCCGAGGAGGTCTCAGACCCTGGAGGATTCCGTATGTCATGGGGGCGGCGGTGATCTAGTTGGAGCTCGACTGGCTTCCGGGCCCTGGGTTCTTCATCCACTGATCCCCGGTCCAGCGCCCTCAACGAAGGGGGGGGAGGGACCCCGAGATACGGGCCGCGTCTTTGCGCGCCTGGCATTCTCGCCTGGTCTCGGGCCACGAGGCCGTCGCAGATTGATCCAGCTTCGAGGATGCAGGAGACGGACGGCGTCCAGGGCTCCGCTCGTGGTCTTCGCGACCTTTTTTTGTCGCAGCGTCGGATCTCAGGAGAGGAAGGAGGGGGGAGGGCAGGAGGCGGGAGGAGGGTGGGGGAGGAGGGAGGGGGGGGAGAGGGGGAGGAGGAGGAGGAGGGAGGAGGAGGAGGAGGGGAGGAGGAGGAGGAGGAGGGAGGAGGAGGAGGAGGGAGGAGGAGGAGGAGGAGGAGGAGGAGGAGGAGGAGGAGGAGGAGGGGGGGAGGGCGGCTGGCGGCAGGAGGGAGAGGGAGGAGGGGAGGAGGGCGTGAGGAGGAGAATGGGAAGGGCGGGGGGGGGAGGGATGGGGTGAGGAGGGAGGAGGAGGGAGGGAGGGGGGAAGGCCTGCTGGGCGCGCTCGCGCCATAATGATATCCCACCCCTTCCACGTATATTTCCACACTACGCTGATTGTTCTCCTTCGCGGACGCGTGTCATAGCGGACATGGAATTCCCCCCCAAACAGACCCCATCGTGTTATGCGCAATCAGAGAGGGTGAGCTGAACATGAGGAACAGGAGGAGGATGAGGAATGAGGAGGAAGCGGCGGAGGAGGAGGAGGAGGAGGAGGAGGAGGAGGAGGAGGAAGAGAAGGAGGAGGAAGAGGAGGAGGAGGAGGAGGAGGAGGACGACGAGGACGAACAACAGCAGCGGGAACTGGAGTGGAAGGAACGGGATGAGCAGAACGACCAGGGTTAGGCGGAGGAGGGGAAAGGAGGGGGGCGGCAACGATGGGGAAGCATTCGGATTCAGAAAGGTGGCCCGCGCTTCGGCGATAGCCAGTGGATAGAGAGAGAGATAGAGAGAGAGAGAGAGACAGAGACAAAACTAGTATTCAGCATGCACGTACCTCTACGACCACCCTTCGGGTGATAAGAAGGCTCGGGAGAGTGGAGGAACCAACGTCTCACACGCAATCGATCTCATAATTGATCTCACTATCGATCTCACCATCGATGCCACTATCGATCGCACGATCGCTGCCACTATCGTTCTCATAATCGATCTTACGGACCTTTCTATCGGACCCACTATCGATCCCAATATCGATATGACAATCGACCTCACTACCGACCTCACTATTGATCTCACTTCGATCTTACTGTCGATAGCACTATCGATCTCACACTCGATCCAACACTCGATCTATCTATCGATCTCACTATCGATCCCACTGTCGATCGCACAATCGATCTTACAATCTATCTCACAATCCCTCTCACTATTTATCTCACTGCGTATCGATCTCACTCTAGATTTCACTATCGATCTCACTATCGATCTCATTATCGGTGTCACTATCGGTTTCACTATCCCTCTCACTATCGATCCCGCAGTCGATCGCACAGTCGATCTCACAATCGATCTCATATACCCTCTCACTATCAATCTCACTACGTATCGATCTCACCCACAATCGACCGTACTATCGATGTCACAATCGATGTCACTATCAATCTCATTATCGATCCCACAGTCGATGGCACAATCGATCTCACAATCGATCCCACAATCCCTCTCACTATCAATATCACTACGCATCGATCTCACTCTAGATTTCACTTCCGGTCTCACCATCGATCCCATTATCGATCTCACAATCGAGCGTACTATCGATCTCACTATCGATTCCACTATAGATCCCACTATCGATTCACTATCGATCCCGCTGGACACCATCGACACACCACCAGGACACCATCTGGACACAAATCGAGACAGCGCGGGACACCACGGGACACCACCGGGACACCACGGCGGGACACCCCCGGCACCCGCCCGCCACGCCGCCGGGGGGGCGGGCTTCTGTCCTCGCCGCGCTCGGGTCAGAGAAGGGTCCATTCCTGTCGCCCGCGCACGCAGCTTTGCTTCGCCCGCACGCACGGCACGATCCCGAAACCAAGACCGACTGTGGTGGAGGGCTCTTCGTTCCACTTCGATCTCACCCCATCACCTCCGATAGCTGTAGAGGGAGGGGTAGGTGGGTGGGGAGGATGGTGGAGGAGGAGGTGGAGGATTTCTGGCAGTAACTACGAAGGGAAGACGGTTAGCCGCAGTACCAGGGTTCCATCTCGATCGTGGGATAGGGTCTCTTTGGACGAAGTCGCTTGCACATCCGATGAAACTTGCAGGTGTGGTTCCTCGCAGGCGGCTTGGATTTCATAGCTAATCCTCAAAGGCCGAGGAGGAAGAGGTGGAGCAGGAGCAGCGCAGAAAAGCATGTCGATTGAGCAGGTATGAGGGGGGGAGTGAGAAAGGTGGATGAGGATGACCAGTAGGCAGAGGTTGAGGAGGGCAAAGAGGAAGATGGGGATGAAGAGGGGGAAGAGAAGGAGGAGGAGGAGGAGGAGGAGGAGGAGGAGGAGGAGGAGGAGGAGGAGGAGGAGGAGGAGGAGGAGGAGGAGGAGGAGGAGGAGGAGGAGGAAGGAGGAGGGAGGAGAGGAGGGGGGGAGAGGAGGGGGGGGGGGGGGGGGGAGGAGGAGGACAAAGGCGCGCTGGAAGAGGAAGAGGAGGAGGCAGAGGAGGAGGACAAAGAGCGAGCTCGAAGAGGAGGAGGAGAAGCAGCAGCAGGAGAACGGAGGGACGGGGAATGATCAGTGCGGATGATGAGGAGGATAACCGAGGAGGGACGAGGACGCTCTTCGGCCGGACCCGCATGTGTGCCCGCTGTTTGGGGCACTCGAGTTTACTGCGCCGCTCTGCTATTCCGTTCGGTTCATCTCTGCGATGCTCAGATGGCCGCGGGCGTTTTCTGTGAGGTCCTTTCCAGCTTTCTCCGCCATTGCCCCTTCCCCCTCCTTCCCCTCGTCTTCCTCCCCCCTCCCCAGCCTCTTCACCTTTCCCTCGCCCTCCCCCTTCCGCCTCCCCCTTTCGCCTCCCTCGTCCGCCTCCCCCGTCCGCCTCCCCCTCGTCCTCCCCATCTTCTTCTCCGGCATAGTGGTGATGGCGATCAAGATGATGATGACGATACTGATGAAGATGGTGATGCTGCTGATCGTGATGATGACGATGACAATGGCGATGACGATGATGAGGACGACGACGAGGACGATTATGACGACGACGAAGATGAGGACGACGACGACGCCGATGCTGATGCTGATGCTGCTGCTGATGCTGCCGATGATGATAGTGCCGATGGTGGTGGTGGTGACTAAGACAAAGATGATGATGAGGTGGATGTGCAGGAGGAGGAGGAGTACCTGGTTGAGGTGAAGCATTAGGAAGGTGATGATGATGCTGTTGTTGATGATGATGACGATGAGGAGGTGGAGGAGGATGACGCTAGTGATAATGACGACGATGATGAGGATGCTGATGAGGATATGGATGACGATGAGGATGAAGACAATGATGATGATGAGGATGAGGATGCGGATGAGGATGAGTAAGAGGATGATGGTGATAATGGTGGTGGTGATGATCATGTTAATTATTAGGATGATGAGGGTGATGATGATAATGAGGATAAGGATGAGGATACGGATGAGGATAAGGATGAGGATGCTGATGATGTTGATTATATTGTTGATGATGATGCTGATGCTGCTGTGGATGCTGCTGATGATGCTGATGACGACGACGAGGATGATGATGACGACGCTGATGATGATCATGATAATGACGACGGTGATGATGACGATGATGATGGTGAAGCTGATGCGCATGCTTATGATGATGCTGATTATGATGATGAGGATACTGATGATAATCTGCTGCTGCTGATGCTGATGATGATGATGATGATGTTTACGATGATGCTGATGCTGATACTGCTGATGATGAGGATGATGCTGATGATGATGATGATGGTGATCATGATGGTGATGATGATGATGACGATGACGATGACGATGACGATCACGACGATGATCATGATGATAACGGTGATGATGCTGATGACGCTGATGATGATGATGATGATGATGCTGATGCTGATGCTGCTGATCATGATACTTATGATGCTGATGCTGACGATGCTTGTGATCATGATGCTGATGATGATGCTGATGATGATGAGTTTGATGATGCTGATGCTGATGGTTGTGATGATGCTGATGATGCTGATGATGATGGTGATCATGATGGTGATGATGATGATGATGATGATGATGATGATTCTGATGATGATGATGATGATGCTGATGATGATGATGATGCTGATGATGATGATGGTGATGATGATGATGATGATGATGGTGATGATGATGGGTGAGGGGTGATGAGGGATGATAAGGGGGAGGGGGTCCGGGCTCTCGGTCGGGTGGTGAGGGGGGGGAAGAAGACGGAGCAGGAGGAATCGGAGGAGCAGGAGGAATCGGAGGAGCAGGAATTGCAGGCGGAGGAGGAGGAGGAGGAGGAGGAGGAGGAGGAGGAGGAGGAGGAGCAGGACGAGGAGAATGACTGTGGGGAGGGGGGTGGAGGAGCTGGAGGAGTGCGAGCAGAGCGAGGCGGGGGAGGGGGCGGAGGAGGTGGGCGAGGAGCCCTCTGGCCCCGTGCTCGGCGGGAGCGGGCGCCGGGCAGTGCCACCTCCGACGCCTGCGCCGCCCCCCTTCCTGCGCCTCCTGCACAACCCTGACCTTCCAGGAGGGCTAAACGATGACACCCGACTTAAACACCTACCCCAGAGCTATGCTACGTCTTTCTTGGGTTCAGGCTGTTTCGTGTAGTTTCTTAGGTTTTTAGGCCTCCAGTGCTAAAAATAGCTCTCTGGAAGGTCAGGGAAGCCCTCCCCGCGCCCGCAGGTGCCCGCCTCGCGAGGACCGGGCCCGGAGGCCAGGGCCCCCATGCGCGGGGGGCGGGGCCGCGGCCCGCCGGAGGGTTCCCGCGCGGGCCGGGTGCGGCGGCGCCTCGGCCCGGCCCCGTCGCTCTCGGCCCCGCCGCCGCCCCCCCTCCTCTAAAACGACGCGAAGATCGGGACAAAATCGGATCGGGATAACTCGAAATCTCTGAGAATCGGCGGGTTTGGAGGATGTGCTGGGCGCCGCGGCCGCTCCAGAGGGTTCTGGAACGCTCTGAGAGCGCTCCGGAACGCTCTGGAGCGACTTATCCCGATCCTAGCCCTGTTTTATCCTCCTGCTGCTCGGTCCCCCCCCGTCGCCTGCCTCTGCCGATGCCTCCCTCCCGCCCTCCCTTGCCTCCCTCCCTCCTCGCCCTCCCTCCCGACTCCCTCACGTCTCTTCGCCGCCTCCTCCGTTTCTCTGGGTCCTTTGCGCCGCAGTCTCCTCCTCGTGAGCCTGCCCGCCTTTTTCTTCTTGTTGTCGTCCTAGTCCGCCTTCTCCTTCCCCTCTCTCTTGTCGTCGTCGTCTTCCTCCGTCATTCCTTCCCCTTATAGATAACTTCTCCCTGTCGCACCCCGGGGCCAGTTTTTAGGGCGCGCCGGGCGTTTCGCCTGAGACTCCCTCACCATGTATGGCCCTTAAGCTGAAAAAGGTAACAGCAGTTTCAAAGATGGATGGCTGGTGGTTTTCAAAATGTGGCTCTTGCCTTAGCGCCGCGTGTATTCGTAGTAAACAGTTGCAAGAGCTTCTCGGATTGAAGGCGGGTGGTTTTCAAAATGTGGCTGACGATTCAGCGCCGCGCACACTCGTTTTAAACATTTGCAAGAGTTTCACGGATTGAGGGCGGTTCATTTTCAAAATGTGGCTCTCGCCATAGCGCCGCGCACATTCGTTTTAAACATTTACAAGATTCTCACGGATTCAGGGTGGGTGGTTTTCAAAATGTGGCTCTCGCCTGAGCGCCGCGCACATTCGTTGTAAACACATTGCAATAGTTTCACGGATTGAGAGCGGATGGTTTTCAAAAAAGTAGCTCTCGCCATAGCGCCGCGCGCATGTGCAAGAGTTTCACGGATTGAGGGCGGGTGGTTTTCAACATGTGGCTCTCGCCCCAGCGCCGCGCACATTCGTTTAAACAATTGCAATAGTTTCACGGATTGAGGGCGGGTGGTTTTCAAAATGTGGTTCTCGCATAGAGCCGCGTACATTTGTTTTAAACATTTGCAGGAGTGCCACGGATTCCCATGATCAACGTACCAGAAACGATTCAGGATTATGCGGGCGCAGCAGTTATGTTGATTCGCTGTGTTGAAGTCCCCCACAAACGGCGTTCTGGCACGATTCTGGATCGTCAAGACGCAGCAGTCAGGTTGATACGTGGCGTTGAAATCCCGAGAACAATGTTTCGGCACGCTTCAGGATCTTCAAACTGTTGTCTTACAACGAGGCAGTTCCTTGAATGGAAATGAACCGTTGTAGGAGCCTGTGAAGAGGGAGCTTGGAGGAAGGGTTAATTCCAACACCGTTGATGACTCTTGGGTTTCCACTGGTCCTCCTCCTCCTCTTCCGCTGGGCGCGCCCCGCGTCATCTCTGAGGCTGTCAGGTCGTCGGGGCTCTTTGAACTCTGGCCTCTGATGGGCTCTGGTTTGCTGAAGTGCCGCTCGCTCCTCTCAGGGAACGCCGGTCACTCCGCTTGTTTGCCCACCCATCATTTTGTATTGAGTGTCTCTCTGTCTCTGCCGCTCGCTCTCTCTCTCTCTCTCTTTCTTTCTGTTTGTTCGCATTCCCTGGCTCTTTCTCTCAATCTCTCTTTGTAAAGTTGTCTATATTTTTTTTTGTTTCTCTCTCTCTCTCTCCTTCTATCTCTTTCTCTCTCTCTCTCTGTCACTCTCTTTCTCTCCCTCTCTCCCTGGAAAAATGGAGAACTGAGGAAGGAGGAAGGGCGGGAGGGACAGGGAGAGGGGGGAGATTAATGGGAGAGCTGGGTGAGGGAGGGAACTGGGCTCCATTGTTTCGGGGGCGCGTGTTTGAATGTTTTACCCGTCACTGGTACACTGGTGCTCGCGGTCTGGAACCGCGGTGGGATGCGCATCAGGCCACAAGCGCACGAATCAAGGGTCGAGGCGGAATTGTTATGAGCAATGGACGGCCAGCTTTGCTGACAAAGCAGGCAGGGTGTCCGAGTGGGTCTCTCCTCGAACGTTGCGAGCTCCAGACAGCATGGTGATGAGCCGATGTACTTCTCGGCGGCGAGCGAGGGGGGGAAGTGAGAAGGGTTGGGCCTTCTCGGAAGTCTCGGACGCCCCCTGGCCTTCTGAGAAGTTTTCAAAGCCTCCCCCGAAGACAGACCACGACTCCTCAGAAGGCGCGAGGGCTTCCGAGAAGTCCCGCCGCCTCCTGAGAAGGCCTTCCTCTTCCATTTCCCCCCCTCGCTCGCCGCCAAGCTTCGCGCAGGCCCTCTTGGTCGGGATCCGACCCGCGGCTGCGGGCCCACACGCCGAGAGTGGTCCCCAGAGGGGAGCCTGGCCTGCCGGGCCTCGGGGAGCCTCGCGGTCGCCAGGATCCCCGAGCGGGGTGCTCCCCCCTGGTCTCCCGCTCTCTCGTTCTCTCCTTCCCCGCCCCCACGAGGGAGGAGGGTGGAGCGGGAAGGGGGGGGGAAATCAGGGCTCATTTCGATTCCTCCGATTCGATTCGATTCGATTTCGATTGCTTCCGATTCCGATTCGATCCGACTTGGGATTCCGATTTGGGTTCCGATTCCTGCTTGGAGGCATACTAGCCTGCCGATTTCTGCCGATTCGACTTTTCCCGACCCGGCCGCCGATTTCTGCCGATCCGATTCATTCCGATCGCCGATCCGAGTTATCGATTCGATTCTGGGCTCTCCTGGGGAAATTGCACTGGTGATTGCAGTGTGGGTCCCTCACCTCTGGAAAAGGCCTCCAATTCGCTGCGGGCAGCGGCCTGATGGCGGGTCCGATGAGGGCGCCTCCGGCCAGAGCGGTACCAATCGAGGCCAGGTGCGATTATTGGCAGCACCAGAAATTATGAGTGGGGAGGGCGGTATGCGTGAGGGGGCTGAGAGAGCCTAAGAGGGCCCCAAGAGGGCCCAAGGCTGCAAGAGGGCCTTCAGTGGCCGCCCCGAAGACAAGCCACGAGGCTTCGAGAGGCCGCCAAGACGTCCCACGACGAGTCGCAGGGGCCTCCTGGGCGTCTTGGCGGCCTCTCGAGGCTGCGCAACTCATTATTCGTATTGAACTGAGCAGTGTAATTGCACACACGTCGCCTGCGTGCGGATGGACTCGCTGCATGGAGGAGACGTGCGGGACGACCCCTGCTTGAGTGGTCACAATGAGGGAGCCCGAACGGTCTTCTCTGTTACCTGGGCGCGCGCATCTGCATGGGGTCCGTGATCGGGAGCCGTACGGTGGGGCCTACATCTCGGGGGCGGCGCACTTGCAGGCCATGCTTGAAGCCGCACCTCAGGCCGCACGCGACGGGGGACCGCACGTGGGCCGCCCAGAGCAATCCTCGGCTTCAGGCGCCAGAGCATCCTGATAACAATGCTTGCAGTGGGGAGGGAGGGAGGGAGGGAGGGAGGGAGGGAGGGCGCTACACCACGTGCTGGCACGGAGCTGGTGCGCGGAGCTACCTGGGGCACCCGGCGCGCCTCCCTGGCGCACCTGTGCCGCCCCCGGCAGGCCCTGCCGCACCGGGCGCGGCGGACCTTTTTGCGCCCCTGCGGAGCGTGTGATCCCCGGCGCACCTGCAGCGCCTGGCTCCCGACGTATGCCTTGCGCACCTGGCGCACCCTGCGCGCCTCGCTGGCCTGGTGCACCCTGCGCGGCCGTCGCACCCGAAGCACCCGTCACGCCCTGCGCACGTGCGGCGCGCCGGCCCGTGCTTGACGCACCTGCCGCACCTGGTGGGCCTGATGCGCATGGCACGCCTGGTGTCGCACGTTGCACCGCTGGCGCAGCCGTGGCGCACTCGTGGCGCCCGCGGGGAGCGCTTGCCGCACCTGGCGCACGCGAGGCGAGAACACGGCTCCCCGCCCCAGATTAATCCTGGCGCACAGACAATCCCTTAGGGCTTGTCGACTTTTCGCCAATCGACTTGTGAGAATCGAGCCAGATAAACCCAGGTAAATGCAGATAAATCGAGGTAAATCCAGGTAAATCTAGATAAATCTGGGTAAATCCAGGTAAATCCAGAGATCTCCAGGGACAGTTCGAGCACTTCGCGGCCGCTCCAGCGCGAGTCGAAGGACGGCAGAAGTCGTTAAGCCTTTAACGAAGACAAGTCCAAACCACGTTTCCACCGGGTACCACTGCATTGGATGTCAAGTCAGCCACATCGCGACCTCCCACTCAACCTCGGCCTCCCCTACCGACCCACAGTGTACGGCAGGAGGAGGCCTGCCACCTCCCTTTTCGCTGGAGGCTTGACCACGCGGGTAAGGGAAGAAAGTGCCCACGAGGGGCGGTAACCAGACCACTCGATCAACAATCGAGCCGTCTGATAAAGCCCCCGCTCAGAACCACAGTTTTCGGTATTTATTCGGCTTTAGGGTGCCTCCCCTGCCCATTCAAGACGCGAGGAGGGTCAGCTACAAGCACGTCCTCCTGGGAGGAAAGATGCGCACAGCTGGCCCAATTCGAGACAGAAGTAGAAGAAGTGAGCCGCATCTGTAGCATTCGGGCCCAAGGGAGACGCCTCGGCACGGACGGAGGGTCAGCAAAGGTGGCGTGCCGGCACAGATTGGCGTCTCGGCACACGGGACGAGTCAGCGCAGATGACGATGGCAACGACTACGACGATGCTGACGCGATGAGGGTGACGATGCTGGTTCGATGATGATTCGATCCACGAGTTCGTTTTCTGCATGCCCCATTATTGTCGAGACGAGTTTGACGCGCATGTGAATAGAATATGTATTTCTAGAGTGCCTTTTGTGTGCGAAGCTGTGCCCTGGACCCATGGCGTAGCGCGGTTGCATGTCCTTTGGTGTAGGCTCGATCTGGCCTTGGGCTTGATTTCGATTCGATGCTCGTTCTTCCCCCCCCCTGGCGTGGTCCCCGTAGTTGCCTCTGGGGACATGCTGGGCATGTCCGGGGATGTGATGCTTGCCCTCGCTTGGCTCGTTACGGCTTGCGGGGCGGGGGTCCCAGTGGTGCTCTTGCCGGGGGGGATCACTTGCACTAAAGTGTCCGGGCTTCCCAGGGACATGCACTTGCGCTAACGTGTCCCGGCTTCCCGGGGGCATGCACTTTCATATTTTCCCTCAGGCATAACACTCCAAATCAAACATTGTTGCATATTTAGCAGCATGCCCACGCAGCTCCCCTGGCTCAATTTTTGTTTGTCCACCTCTTCCCCATCCACCACCCTCTGCCCTCGAGCTCGAGGGTCGCTGCTCCAAGCTTGGGGCTTGGAGGGCCTGATCCTTATGTTTGGGGATCCTTGTTTGGATTTGTCTTGGGGTCCAGTATCTTGAGTCCAGGGGGAGGCTCGGGCGCCAGTTTGGCGCCTGGGACTTGTTCTCCCAGTGACAGTTTGTCAGCTTTTGTTGGCCCGTTGGCGGTCCCCTTTCGCCGCTCTCTGCGGCCTATCCATTTTGAGAGTGGATGCTTGAGGCCATCCCACGTCCGCATGAAAAAGCTACTGGTTGACGCGTCGCGTACCCCCTCCAGCCCATCCAAAACAGACACTAGGCGAGTTGCCCTGAGAGGGATGGTGTAGCGTCCTGGTGGGGTGGTTGTATGTCCTTGCCCGCGGAGCCAGTTTTACGTCGTGCGTGCCCGGGGCCGTCTTGGTGGAGTGGTTGCTTGTCGTTGCTCGCCGTGCGCGCGTTGCTCTGGGCGCGCGGAGACCGACGACGCGCGCGCTGATCATATAGCAAGCAGGGGGCGACGACAGACAACATTCAACCCAGGCAGCTGCGGGAAGCGATTACCCTCCTGCCACCGCGTAAATTCTAAACCCGGGGCAGTTGTAGTGACGATGTCCAGGCAAGTTGCCTTGACCAGGGAAGTGAAGCAGCATGCAGCGTAACAAGGAAGGGGGGACGACGACGACGACGACGACGACGACGACGACGACGACGACGACACGACGACGACGACGACGACGACGACGACGACCACGACGACGCTGACGAAGACGACGACGGCGACGATGGCGACGACGACGATGACGACGACGACGGCGACGGCGACGGCGACAGCGACAGCGACGGCGACGGCGACGGCGACGGCGACGGCGACGGCGACGGCGACGGCGACGGCGACGGCGACGGCGACGGCGACGGCGACGGCGACGGCGACGGCGACGGCGACGGCGACAACGACGGCGACGGCAACAGCGCCGGCGACGGCGACGGCGGCGACGACGACAACAACGGCGACGATGGCGGCGGCGGCAGTCGCGGCGACAGCGACGACGACGGCGACAAAGGCGACGGCGACGACGACGAGGACAGGATTCAACCATCGACACCTTTGCAGATCTCTTGCTCTGGGGGCGTCTTGGAGGCCTCTTGGGGCCCTTTAGGAGGTCTTCTGGGCCCTCTTGGGGATCTCTTGAGGCCCTCTCCGGGCTCACTCGGGGCTCTCTGGGGGCCCTCGTGGAGGTCTTTGGGGCCCCGCTGGGGCCATTTGCCGTCTTGCAAGCCATTGGTCAAAGGAGGCGGAGTGCTGAAGCAGAGCCTCCCTCTTTGGGCCTAGGGGGTTGGCCCCCGTGGGCCGCTCTTGGGGCGCTCATGGGGCGCTCTCGGGCGCTCTTGGGGCCGTTTCGGGGCCATCCTGGGCCCATCTTGGGGCCCACTTGGGCCATCCTGTAGCCATCCTGAGGCCGCAAGAGCCCATCGGAAGCGAAACGGCGAAAAGGTCAACAGCATTGAAACAGCGCATTTTGTTGGAATGACTTTGGCCCCTTGGAGATCTCCTTGGGACTCTCGGAGGGCACTTAGGGCTGTCCTGGGGCGATCTTGAGGTCTCTTGGAGGCATGTGGGAGGCTATCTTGGATCATCTTGGGTTATCTTGAGCGATCTTGGAGGCCATCCCGAGCTCTCTGGGGTCTCCTGGGAGACACCGGTGGCCGAAAAGGACCCTCTGACATCCCGCGGGGGGTCCAGATCCATAGGGAGTGGTTAGGGGGAGGGCCCCCGCCCCTCCCCGAAGGGGAAGCAGGGGGTTAGCAGAACGCGCTCTCTAGACCACTCATGCCCATATGGCTGGTGGGACTAGTCAACCACAGCAGCAGCACCTCCCAGGCTCCGCGCGGAGGTGACGGCCTCCCTCGGCGCATAGAGCTATGGCTCCGACCGATACCACGTCAGCAGCTGCTACTGCAGCAGACGCTGTTCGTTAGGCTACCAGTTCCGAGTACCATTGCTGTGACTATTTTTAGCCACGTCTGTCGCGGTCGGCCTCTCTTCCGCTTGCCCCCCTCCGGCAAGCGGAAGAGAGGCCGACCGCGACAGACGTGGCCTGCCGAGGTGTACAAACTTGCAAGAGATGTTTGTGGCAGTCTTCAAGTTCCAATCGAACATTTATGCGCAATCCCAGTTCGAGACTGGAAGCGCGCAGTGCGGTCATTTTGCTTGGCACGGTAAGTGTGCCATATTGCTCATGTGCCTTCTGACACACGGCTTTGACTGACTGACTGTCGTTATCGCCTCCCTTACTCCTCCGCGTCCACAGCTCCAGGGCTTCCAGGGGGAGGGATGAGGCTATTCAGGGTGCGACGGATGACGGAACGCAGGCGGGCAAGGCAAGCTGGATCTTGCGTGCCCCACTTTGGAGAGAGGGGGAATAGGGGGAGGAGCTCACCAGCCTCGAACTTATCCCTATCCCTAAGATTGACACGCCGAAAGGCGATGACAATCTTAGGGATGCGCCCTCAAAAACTGAGGGAATCCCTAAGATTGGCATCGTGATGGGGCGATGCCCAGCACAGGGATAGGGATATGTTCCAGGCTGGTAAGGAGCGTGTGAGGAGGGAGGGAGGGGGGGAGGACTGGAGGATGTCGGAGCGAGGGAAGGACGACCCTGCCCTGCGCGTGCACGTTCCCCTCGGCCTGCTCGCTCCGCCTGCTCGCGCCCCCCGCGCCGACCCCAGGCGTCGGCGACCTGACGCAGCTGCAGGAGAGCGGCGACGGCCAGGCGTGCCACACCGCCATCCCCGGGGAGGAGTGCTACCAGAACATCGCCTGGCACAGCACGGACGGCCCTGCCTGCCGCGTGACCTGGACGGACCTCTGTGCAGGTCTTCGGCTGGCGCTCGAGCTGGTCTCAGTACTCCAGGTGAGCAGCGCGAGCTTTGACTCCACGCCAGCTGTATTTGGGGCAGGGGGGGACCGAAAAAGACACGCACACTATTCAGGAGGTAGGGTCCGTTGTCCCAGCCTCGGGCTTGACTTCCATCGGATGCTCGCTCTTCCCCCTCTCCCGGTGTTGCCCAAGAAGCTTGCGGGAACATGCTGGTCAGCAGTGTCAATTTGCTGTGGCCGAACATGTGACAATACCATTGGGTTTTGGCCCCGAAGCGAAACTGTTCACTCACGCTTCTCTGACAGAGTGCTCTGCCTGGGACGGAACGTGCGCGCAGTTGTTGATGAAGCGGTCTGCCTCGTGACGTTTCGAGACGTTGGTGTATCTTCGCATGAGGGCGGTTGTTGATGAAGCCGTTCACCTTCGAGTTCAACTGGGCGCCAGTTCGTCAACTGGGATTCGTTCTCCCTTTTCCGATTTGAAAAGCGACGTCTGTTTGAACTACGATGCAATCTGATGCGCGTGAGGGTGGCTACGATAATACAAGCAAAGATGACCAGCAGGACGAGGAAAGTAAGGCAAGATCAGAAGGAGGAGGAGCAATAGCGACAGCAACGCGGGCATCAGCAGCAAAGGATGACGATGAGAAACAGTGGCATCAGGAGCAGCAGGAGTGGCAGAAGAGGAACGCAGTGAGGTTGCCTGAAAAGTGAGACAATACGAACGCATGCGGGCACCAAGGTTGCGCGGAAGGAGCAGCAGGACTGGATGCATGCAGATGTGTGCGGGAAGGAAGTGGGGTAGAGCGCCGCGTTTGTGGGACACGTACGCCGAAGACCCGCAGGATAGTGACTGTAAGAATGACGACAGTTTGCTTGACCCAGACGCCAGGACATTGAAGAACACCCGGAGTGGTATGCTGGTCTGTCGAAGAACTCTACATTGTACGAGTGGCAGACGTGGGCTCACGAGCAGGCAGTCAGTCCCGCCCTCCAACGCAGCTTGCGCCTGTACGTAGACACCGTCAGTCTTCGTTGGCTGTCAACATTCCCTCGGCAGCATCCAGGAACACAGTCCAGTTTCCATGTTCTCTGTCTATGCGTATGCGCAGGGTTGTGGCAGTATTCGTTGAATTTATTGTTCGAAAGTTGACTCATGCTTCTTGCGCAAGTATGGTTTCCCACGACTTGCTTGGGCTGGACAACACCAGATACCGGAATCGCAAATTCGTAAAGATATAAGAAATCCAGTATTTGGTGTTGCTTGCCCTTGCCCAATTTGAGTTCTTTCTTGCAGATGTTGCCATCATATCTGCGATGATTTTTGTAGTTCTCAAAGCATGTTGTAATTCATTGCCAACTGCAGTTCCGCGAATGGAAGCAATGATGTGCAGACGGACGTGGACGATGATAACCTCATGCTACCAGCGTTGATATTTGCAGCGTGTAAGCAGTACATCCAGCAGGCAGCATTTACATTACGATATTGAATCGCGCCCAGGGCAAAAAGACATGCTCTCGACCTTGTCCACCAGAGGAGGACTGTGTATCCGACCGGGCATGTCAGGATTTGCAAACAAGCTTCGGACCATTTGGTATTTGCGAGTTCAGAAGAGCTTCATATACATGCCATACTTTGGCGGTAAGCGTGCATCCACTGATCTTGTCTCTTGCATTGCACAGCTGCGAAGCTGGATAATCCTAGAACAGCCATCGTGTTGTCCGTTGGCGACGAGGCCAGTCAAAAGATCTCGTCTCTGAGTCTCTGGATCGTTCAGCACTCTCCACTATTCGTCGGGTGATGCGCCTTCAATCTTACACATTGGCGTTTTCAAGTGATGTGGTGAATGGTGTCCAATGTTTCAACGCTGCACTTGCGAATGAGGTCGGGATAGCTGCTCAAGTCTTCCCTTGGGAGAGCTCGCGTTCTCGTTTGCACCTCCTTGTCCACCCTGCAGATAACACAAGTGGTCTATAATGGCACTCCCCGAAAATAACGGATGCAACTAGCACATGAAGGGTGTACATATTTGAGCTTGCAATGCATGGGCGAGCCCCTTCCTGTCAGGAAGTACCAGATGGTAGGGCACGCCTAGCATTTTCCTTCGACTCCTCTTCGTCGAGGTTTGTTGTATCCTGCGTTCCCCAGCCTCCCATCCATACATACCTTTGCTCAGGCTGCTCGCTGTCCCCTTGGCCAGTCGCCTCCCTCTCTGCTGCAAGCATGGCAATGCACGCTGGACGAGGCGGTTGCGCCCACGATGAGGAGAAGGAGGGACAGCAGGACGATCACTAGGACCACGATGGCGACGACGACGACGACGAGGAGGATGACGAGTGGAGGGATCCGGGAGGCCGCGTTCGACGAACCCTCAGGCCGTCAGGAATCAGGAACCAGAGGGATCCAGTGGTAAGGTTTGCTTCCGCCCTGGCTCTTGACCCCCAGAGGCCCCTGGACGCCACCGCGGGCCTCCAGAGGCCCGCAGAGGGCGAGCGCACCACGACAACTTCCTAGACCGTCCGACCACCCCCCTCCAGACATCCGACCCCCTGCGTTTTCACGACGAGGCTCCCCAGAGGTCCGGGACCCCTTCCCGGGGACCGGCATTTCCGATCCCGAGGCGCTCTTTGATGGCCGCGGGGCCCGGGAATGGCCCCTGGAGACTGTTGCCGAGCACTTCCCGTCGAGATTTTTCCCCCGCCTGTCTCCGGACTGCTGCTTTTTGTTTTTGAAGATCCCGTGGGTGCTTGTGCCGGCCGGCCTGGCTCGGGTTGCCTGCGGTGGCCCAGTGGCCCATAGTTGTTGCCCAGCAGTTGCCGGGTGGCCCGGTGGCCCAGCGGCCAGGCTATGCTTGGATTGCCCGGGTTGCCCAGTCGCCGGGTCGCCCTGCAGCCCGGCCTTCCTCGGGTTGCTCGGTTGGCCCGAGTTTCCCGGGGTTGTCCAGGTGTTAAGCAGTGCCCAGCAATGCCCAGCAATGCAAGGCAGTGCCTACGGGGCGTGAAAACGACCACAGCCACTGCTTGTTTTTTTTTGGTTGCCGCCTTCCAGCACGCAGAAACAAAGCAGTGGCTGTGGTCATTTTCGTTGAGCTTGGCACCAGGGAAATGGCCACAACCACTGCTTCTTTTTCGGCCGGCTGGAAGGCGGCGCAGACAAGAAGCAGTGGCTGTGGTCATTTTCCCGTCCCGCAGTGCCCAGCAACGCCAGACAACGCCATGCAATGCAATGCAAGGCAATGCCAGGCAATGCCAAGCAAAGCCCAGCAACGCCAAGCAATGCGAAGCAATGCCAAGCAATGCGAAGCAATGCTGCCAAGCAACGTCAAGCAATGCCAAGCAATGCCAAATGATACCAAGCGATGCAAAGCAATGCCAAGCAATGCCAAGCAATGCCACGTAACGTCAAGCATATTAAGCAACACCAAGCAACGCCAAGCAAGGCCAAACATAGCAAAACAATGCTTAGCAATGGCAAGCAATGCCCAACAATGCCAATCAATACCATGTAACGCCAAGCAACGGCAAGCAAGGTCACGCAAGGCCAAGCAATGCAAAGCAATGCCAAGCAGTGCCAAGGAATGCCAAGGAATGAAAAGCAGTGCCTTGCTTGTTTGGCTGCTCACTTAGGAAGGTTTCCCCCCGCTTGGGGTTGCGCTGCGCTCGCTTCACGGCGCGAGGATGTCAGGGCTGAGGGCCCCCTGCGCCGCTCGATCCGAGCGGCCCCGCGCTCACACGGGGCGCGCCCCCCGTGGCCGCGCGTGCTGCCGCCCGCGCCGCCGCCGAGGACATCGCGGGCACCCGGCCGGTGCAGCTCGGAGAGGCCGAGCCCGACGGGCCGCCAGGCGCCGCCCGCGGCCCGCCCGCCGCCCGCCCTCCGCGCAGCGCGCACCTGCTTGGGGCTCGCGCGCGCAGGGCAGGGCGTTCGCCGCTCCCGGTGGCCTCGCGGCTCGCTCCTCCGGCGGGCCTCGGGGGCCTCCTCGGGCGGCCCTCGGGGGCCCCCGGGCGGCCCCCGGGGGGCCCCCGGGCGGCCCTCGGGGGCCCCTCGGCAGCCCTCGGGCAGCCCTCGGGCGGCCCTGGGGCGGCCCTCGGGGGGCCCCTCGGCGGCTCTCGGGGGGCCTCTCGGGCGGCCCTCGGGGCGGCCCTCAGCGGCCCTCTCGGCGGCCCCTCGAGCGCCGCCGCCGCCAGCTGGGGAGGCGGCGGCCTCGGGCCCTCGGCCCGCCGCCCTCGGCCCCCCCCCCCCGAGCTGCCGCGGCCCGCGCCGAGCGCCAGCAGGCCGGGGGGGCGCCGCGTGCGCATCCGGGGGAGCGGTGGTCGAAGGAGAACAAAAACGCCATGAGCATCAGCTGGTGGCGCTCCACGCGGGTCTCTTGGGTCCGCGCGGGGGGCCTCCCCGGGCGGCCGGCACGTCCGGCGCCGCCCCTGGCTCGCTCCGCGCGCCAGGGAGGGGCCCCAGCGCAGATCCAAGAACTCCGCGCGGAGCGCCAAAAGTGTATGATGTTGAAGTCGTTTTTGTTCCTCCTTCTGGGGGTGACGAGAAGGGAGGCTACGACCTCCTGGATTGAAGAGTGCGGGCCAGCGCAGGTCTCCGAAAGTTCGAGCACGGACCAGATTTGTTCCAGCCTCGAAATTATCCTTATCCCTGAGATCGACACACCCAAAGGCGATGACAATCTTAGGGATTCGCCCTCAAAGAATAAGGGAATCCCTAAGATCGGCATCGTGATGAGGAGATGCCCAGCATAGGGATAGGGATATGCTCCAGGCTGGTAGGATTTGTTGCCCTTGGGAAACTCACGGAGGACGTCGCAGTCTTCGGGTGCCGAGGAGGCCTGGCGGGAGCCTCGTTGCGCATCCTACGCGACCTCTCTGCACCTCTGCGGTCCGCACGTTTGAACCCAGCAGGTTGTAGGCCCAGGGGGGGGCGCATGGACCCCAAATCGCCCATTCATCGCCGATAGTGGCCCGATAATGAGCCCCGCCCCGCCCAGGAACGTGCGGATTCGTCATCGCGGGCCTGTTGCCGATCTATCGGCGATGTATCGCCGATTCCAGGTCGATGTTCCCTCCCCTGTGCCAGTCCCCTCCTAACGTTGTCCCTCCGAGCACGCGCGGCCCCTGCGCCCTCCTGGTGGGCGGCGCGGCCTGGGATCGGGTATAGCCAGGGCCCCGGATGCGGGCAACTGCATGGTTAGTGATGGGGCCCAGAAGCCAAAACAGATCGCCAAACCAGTTCTGCCGCAGCTTGTGCTTTTCGGGTGACGGCAGGTCCAGTCAGTGGAATGAAGCGGGGGAAGCGTCCCCGAGCACGCATCACTGAACCAGGTCCTGCTGAATCCAGTCTTGCCAATGCCCGACGGGAGGCGGAGCGCCACAACCCGCGGGCACGGCTCGCGGCGCGGTGCGGTGCGAGAGCGCTGCCGCGCGGGGCTCCAGTGTGAGTCGGGCAGAGGAGGGCGAGTGGTGACAAGGGTAGCTGGCGGCGTGCACATGGGGTGTGAGGGGGAGAGGGGAAGGCTTCTTAGAGGGAGGCTGCTTCTTTGAAGGCGCTGGCCCTAGATCTGCAGACAAGGCCCGCGCCTTCTGAGAAGCAGGGGTGCTTCTAAGAAGCCTTCCGCTCTCCCCCTCCCCCCACCTCCTCCTCCTCCTCCTCCTCCTCCTCCTCCTCCTCCTCCTCCCCCACCTCCTCCTCCTCCTCCTCCTCCTCCTCCTCCTCCTCCTCCTCCTCCTCCTCCTCCTCCTCCCAAGGTGGTTGTCCTTCGGGGGGCCCTCGTCGCCGCGGCCGGACACCACACTGGGAACACTGGTGCGGTTGGACCCGGGGAGGGATCCGTGGACCGATTTCTGGAGCTGCCTCTGTCTTGGCTCGCCCCCTCCTCCTCCTCCTCCTCCTCCTCCTCCTC